CCATTGCCCCCCACTCAGAGGATCTGTGCTAGTTGTGTTTTTTAAAGGGGCCGTAGTTTTATTTTTTAAAGAAAACGTGCAAGGGAGTGGGGCGGGAGTAGGACAGACTTGACTGGGCTGTCGGCGCGGAAGGCAGAGCGGCGGCCGCCACAGCTGACTGTGTCCCGGCTTTTCAGCGCTTGGCACCGAGCCGGGCGCCAGAGGGCACTCAGAATTGTTGAATAGTGAGTTGTAGTGTATTTTCGTAGCAGCTTTGTAAAGTACGCATTGGTTTGCGCATTTTACAGAGATGAGGAAACAGACTCCGAGAGGTTAAATAGCTTGCCTTTGGCCACACAGCTAGGACCCGGCAGAGCTGTGATTGAGACCTAGCAGTGCCCCAGCAGCAGCCACCCCCCCCGCCCCCGCCCCGGGCCACAGTGGAGCGGGAGCCAGTCCTCTTGGGCGCTCTATCTTGTCGTCGTTGTTAGATTTTTAACTTAAAACGTTAGGTTGAGATAACATTTCGAGTTACAGAGAAGTTAGCAAGAAGGGCACGAACAGTTCTCAGACCCTTGGCCCAGAGTTGTACAGGGTGGTCTGGATTTCACCTGGGACGGCCCAGCGGGGGGCGGGGCACGCGGGCAGCACCCTCTACTTCTAAGGTCATGAACAGCAGGGCAGCAGGGCGGGGCCCTGTGGGGGGAAGTTCCCGGTGACCCCACCCAGGAAGCAGGCAAACCCCAGAGCAGCCCCCGGGCTTGCTGGGTGAAAACACGGGAGGAGAGGCTAGGGTTTATCATTTTCCGCGGAAGAAAGGAGATTCTGGAGGGTTGGGAGACTATAAAAGAAAAGTGGCTTATAAATAAAAGAGAGGACCTGCGGCTGCCCACGCAGACGCCCAGGGGCACGCTCAGCAGCCTGCGCGCTGCGGGAACTAAGGCTGCACTCAGACGGCTGCACCCCATGCGTTTCCTGTCCTTGCCAGTGCAGGTCAGGGTTAATGTCTGTACTGTTTTCTCAGTTTTCTGTGTGTGCGCTTGCCACACAGGTTTTGCAAAACCCCTCCTTATGTTCACCTTTTGCACCCTTGTACACACTCTCCCCCTTCTGGGTTGCATGTTTTTTCTCCTCCTAAGGCTGTCTTCCCAAAGGCATCGCATTCGGAGGAAGGGCAGGAGGATTCTTCCCTATGGGAGAGGAAAGAGGGGTGTCCTCTTTTAAAGGGGTAAAGATTTGGAAGTTTTCCAGCTCCAGAGACTTCCTCCAGTTCTGATACTAAAAGAAACCAGTGTTCTCCGCTCCAGGGCCTGAGCTTGTGACTTCTGTGCCTTCCCCCCTGCTTCCAGACTCCTCCACTCAGAAGTTGCTTAGTTATTATTTCAGAAGCTTTTTTTCCCTCGCTCTTCCTCACTCCTGCTCAACCTGTGCTGGACAGTAAGTGCCGCGATGGTGGAGGTGTGGTGCCTGACGTGCCCGCGCTCCAGCTACGGCCTGGCACACAGCAGAAGCTCCGTCAGTATTTGCTCAGAGAGCCGCCCTTGGTCTGTGGCTGAGGTGTGCAATTGCTAGGTCAGTAAACTTCACATAAGAGAGGAGATCTTAAAAGTTCTCATCACAGGAAAAAAAAAAGGTAATTATGTGAGTTGATGACGCCTGTTAACTTGTGGTCATCGTTTTGCAGTATATACGTATGTCAAATCCTTTTGCAGTACACCTAGAACAAATACAGTGTTATATGGCAGTTATATCTCAATAAAAACAAAAAAAAAATCAGGGTCCCAGCCTTTTAGGTGTTAGCTGCTTCTCTGGGATCTATTTTCCAGTTGATCCTTTAATAACAGGGTGTTCTGCCTTGAAAGGATCTTGGAGGTCCTTGGGGCCACCTCTTTTCTGTTATTGCTCGTTATGGTTTCCTTGGTTTTTAATCTCTGAGAGGGAGGGATAGTTGTTACACGAGCGTGTCTCAGTTACGCCTGTGCGGGTGATCCAGGGTAAGTTTCTCCTTCCAGACCGGCTAGGTCCTTCGATTTTCCCGAAGCTTCTGGGAATGCTGACATGAGGAGGCCTAGGGATGATGGGTGCTTAGCTAAGCATCTGCAATTAAGAACTCACTAGGGGCATCTGGCTGGCTCAGTCAGTATACTACTCTTGATCTCAGAGTTGTGAGTTTGAGCCCCATGCTGGGTGTAGAAACTTCTTAAAAATAAATTCTTAAAGAAAAAAGAACTCACTAAACTGATTTGACCCTGCCTCTTTGCTCTTAATCACTCTCTTTATCCCTTCTCTTTTTCATTCTTAGGCTTCTCATCTCTCATTTAGGCAGTAAGCCCCTAGGGTGGATATATGCTACAGTATTTGTGCAGTTAGCTATTTTGTTCATTTTTAAACATGAATTTATTTTAGATAGAGTGGGGTGTGGGAGAGGAGCAGAGGGAGAGAGAGTATCTCATTCAGGCTCCACGCTGAGCGACGTGGGGCTCGATCTCAAGACCCTGAGATCACGACCTGAGCCATAATCAAGAGTCGGATGCTTAACTGACTGAGCCACCCAGGCGCCCCTATCTTATCCATTTTTTTTTTTTTAATTTTGTACACGTTTAATGGTGAGCCTTTGGTTGCCTTGATTTCTTAAATAGAACCATCTTGCTCCATAGGCCACACCGGTGAGAGCTGCAGCAGATTTTGCAAAATTGCCCTGTTAGGCTAGGAAGCACCTTTGAGATGATTCACGCCGGTCCCTTTGATTTGATAGGAAGTGAGGGAGTGGATTGGTCAGTGAGCTGAGGGCATGGGATCAGTGGGCGACAGACGCTGGGGCAGAGCCCTGGCCTTGCTGGAACTGGGCTTCCTTGTCACAGCGCCCTCGTGCCCTTCCGGGGCCACATCTCACACCTGTGGAGTGGGGACCTCTTACTGCCCACTTCTTAGTATTTGCTTTGGAGTCTTTGGACAGTCTGTACTGAAAAATGAACGTTGGAACAAAGCCTCATTATCCCTGTCAGCCGTGGCCAGCAAACTGTGGATGGGAAAGAGCCGGGCAAGCAGAGAGGTGCGATGTGTGTTCTGATTTTCCTTAGAAATAGTCCTTGAAGCTTCTGAAAAGTTATTTTAATCTACAGCTTTTTTTTTTTCCCCCTTTCCAGTGACTATTTTGGTGTCACTAACCAGTGACACCAAAAATAGGATTGCTTTGGGGTTTTATGTTGGCAGACAGCATGCTCCCCAAGGAACTTTGAGGCTCACTCCTCCCGCTGGGGAACGAGGAAGCTGTCTCTGTTTCTCCAGCATTACCAACAGGGACCCGTCCGACTTCACTCCGATGCTGCTGACCTTGGGAAGTTACTGACCTACTTTATAGTCAGCATACCCCTATATTCAGGCTCTGAATTCAAAAAACTTGACAGCTGAGTGGATCAAGAGCCATTTTATGTTTTTTGGTTTTTTTTTTAGATTTTTTATTATTTGAGAGAGAGCGACCACACATGGACGCAAATGGGGGGAGGGGCAGAGGGAGAGGGACAAGTGGGCTCTGTCTGCTCTGGGCGAGAAGCTCGGTCCACAACCCAAGATCATGACCTGAGCTGAAATCAAGAGTCGGACACCTGACTGGCTGAGCCCCCCAGGCTGCCCCTAGAGCCCTTTTATGTTCTTTATTAAAGTGTTCCTGCAGGTTCTTTGGTTGCCACGCTGTGCGGCTCAGAGCACTAGCTCCCCATGAGAATATGAGGACCAAGGCCAGCTCGGGCAGCCTCCGGCTGTGAGGATGGCCCGAAAAGAGACACCTTTTCAGACGTTTTATTGTGGGGGATAAATCAGTCCATATTAGCTGCTCTTCTTCTTTTTGACTTGAAGACAGTTAGGACCCTTCATCCTTTGAGCTGCTACTCAGGGTTGCATGTGATCATGTAGTCTTTCTTTAAGTCTTCAAACACCCACACGGGAACAGTGGGGACCTGCTTGTGTTAGTGGAAACAACATAGAGGACCTGGTTAAAATGGAGTTTGGTCTGTTAACCTAGTTGGGTTGTCCCCGCACAAGTCACACACCCCCCGAGAGGTCTCAGGAACTGGAGTTACTGAGGGTTGGTAGGCTTTGGGTCCAAGCATCACTGCCACGGAACAGCTAAGTTTTGACTGGCAGGTGAATTTACTTAGAACTTGATCTCCTTTGGAAACTGGAATAATGTCTGCTTGGGTAGGTTGTTGGGAGAATTAAACACAACACAAGACAGGTGTCTTGGATAGTTGGCTTCATGAGCTCCCAGCACACTGGGGTTTGGCCGTCTGTGATTGCATAGCCACTGCATAATGTCATGTGTTGGTTGAGCTCTTTAGACAGTAAACCATCGGCGAATCCTTCAGTGGTGAGAGGGTTCAACTACTATCGTCCTGTCCACAGTGTGGAGAGTCAGAGCTGGGGTGAGCCTGGAGGGGTTGGGGACGGTGAGAGTGGGTGGGTAGGGGAAATCTGGCTACTTGTATCTTGACATGAGGATTTGTTTGGAAGGTAAATCACCCCCTGGTAGTTGTGTATAATTAGGTCATTGATTGCCAGTTAATATTACTAATTACCATACTTTTTGCTTAATGAATATGGTGAAGCTGTAAAGACCATAAAGTTCATAGAACGTGCTAAAGAGAAGCTTTTGGTATGTGTCCGTAAGTATTGTTCAAAATGGAAATGGCCAGTCTTGCAGGTACTCTTAGAGAATGGTGTTTGTGCAGAAGGAAAATTTAGCAAAGACAGTTTTACAAAATAAGTGAAGTGTTGCTTTTAGCTGCTGATGGATTAGTTTTATTCGATGTAGCCCTCAGGAGGACTTAGTCTGAAGGAATGAAAGCCATATTTGGTGGATGACCCTGAGATTTGAAAGTGAGAGGGCGTGTGTGTTAGTGCCTGTGTGTGTATGTCAAGGTGAAGTGCTCCAGAGTTCTTGTGTGGAATGTAAAAAGAATCCTGGCTTATCTGCATTTTTTTGTGTGCTTGTTCATGTGTAGCATGGCTTGTTTTTCTTCTAGGATGTGGAGAAAGAGAAGGAAACCTACAGTTACCTCAGCAAAGAGGAAATCAAAGAGAAAGTTCATAAATACAACCTAGCAGTCACAGACAAGTTGAAGATGACCTTGGTAAGCACCCATAGTACTGTTTGCGCTGACACATGTCAAAAGACAAATACAAACTGTTGGTATTACCATCTGTATGTTTTAAAATCTCTGAATGGCATTTGCGGAAGTTTAATGGTCAAGGTATGCAGGACAATAGAGTGTTTCTGCAGCTTTCAAATTGAAGCTATATTTTAAAGTAGCTTTATCGCACCATCAGTTAATACTTTAAAGTTTTATTGTAAAAGTTTTTTTTGACCCTCTGAAGGATTTTTAGCATTGAGTATTGCCATTGCCATCTGGTACCTCAAATTCTAATAAGGCGTAGATCAGTTTTATCTTGTGCAAATAAGTATGAAAGTGTGGGGAAAGGATTTCATGCCCGTGGTTTAGAATATAATTGAGCTAAGATTTCTCTGGGCTGGTTGTCATGGAAGATGGCGAATGTAATACTCAGCCTCCTACATGTTGTTTCAGGCTTCTGCAGTGTGGTACCAAACACTGAAGCTCAGTGGGGGGTGAGGATGTAGGAGGAGGAAGGCACAGGGCTTAGTGACAACAGAAGGAGAGCCAGCAACAGAGCCAGAGTCTTCATGTGCCTCAAACTGGACTGGCGTCCCTGCTCGTCCTCACGTTTGGTGACTTTCCTCGAGGCACCTGCCATCCCTTGGTACCCGTTTCCAGGGCCCTTGAACTTCTGCCTCTCAGGCTATTGACTGTGAACTGACAGTTCAGTAGAGGACAGGGTGACTGGTTTAGAACAGGCCCTACTGAATTCTGTGGCCTTAGGGGAGGAGCGTTACATATAAGCCCTTGTGATAAAGGATCCCTCCCCAGTGGGACTCCCCCAGAAGGGGGGAAGCGGGACACAGGATCCCAAGATTATTCTTCATTACTCCAACAGTGATACTGTTTCAAATGCACTTTTCATCAAAGGAGAAATACTCCACTTGTCATGGGTTCTTCTTCCCTCCCCCATGGAGATGAAAACATGCAAGTTTCCATCTTGTTGCAAAAATAGAAATTTGAGGAGTTGTATAATACTTTCCACAAGAATGAACAAGTGAATCAGTACTGTAAATTGATCTTGTGGAAAGGAAGAAAAATAATGGACCAAAAAGGAGGTTTTTTAATGTTTTAATTTAACTGTCTCATTTCTGTATAACACCTGAGGCTTTGTTTTAATAAAACATTAGAATACATTTTTTTCTAAATATACTGGATGTAAAAAGAAAAAGTGAAGATCAGACCATTATTACTATTTTTGGTAACTAAGAAATAGTCTACCATCAGTTAAGACAAGTGCTAAACTCAGCAAGTTGTGTATATTAAATATGTACAGTTTATTTGTATAAGAAGCATACCTCAACAAAATGGGTAAAAAATAGTATACAGAAGGAGTTATAAACACCACGTTAAGACAAAAAACACAAGTGCTAATGACTATATAGTTCACATTGTAGCTTCAACTAGTTTTGCACTCTTACTGCTTAAAGCACCCGAGATACGTCGTCGCGCGCTGTGTGGGGTATGTGCTGTGTCCAGACGTTTCGGTGAAATTGATAATCTAGGACATACCGTGAATAGCCACTAGGAATGAGATGGCTTGTTTGCGTACTGTCCCCTCCAGGCTTGTTTAGGTGTTCCCAAGTCCCCAGAGACCTTCCTTTTCTTTCTTATTTATTTATTTTTTAAGATTTTATTTACTGAGAGAGGTAGAGTGCACGTGCAAGCATGAGTGGGGGGAGGGGCAGAGAGAGGAGAAGAAGCAGATTCTCTGATGAGCAGGGAGTTCAATGCAGGGGCTCCATCCCAGGTCCCCGAGATCATGACCTGAGCCAAAGGCAGACGCGTAACCGACTGAGCCCGCCAGGCGCCCCGCCACCTTCCTTTTCTGTGTAATCTGGTCACCAGCTGCAGATGTTTCCTTTGAGCAGTTGGCCCCGGCCTGTCCCCCACGCACGCGTGCATCTTGGGATTTGGCTGGCCTCTGCTCTGCTGGACCGTAACCTCTCCAGTGGGCCCTGACCTTTCAGATGTCGGCTTCAGAGGCGTCCGTCTCGGACCGCAGTCCTCACAGCACGAGGAGGCTTCTGTCACCATGTATGCCCTACAGACCCTGGCTCTGTGAGCACTTTGCCGGGGTGGTGTTAACCTCCCTCTGAGATCCTTTCCTTGGGGGCAATCTCAGTGAGGTTCTGTCACAGAGCTGTAAAAGCACAGAACAGGAGAAAGAGGGTCTCGCCTTCTCTCTAACAGTGTGCTTTTCTTCCTGCTTCAGAATTCAAATGGGATTTACACTGGCTTCATTAAAGTCCAGATGGAGCTCTGCAGACCCCCACAGACTTCTGGAAAACTCGCTCCCAGTAGCAACGGCTGTATGAACACGCTTCACATCAGCAGCACGAATACCGTCGGGGAAGTGATCGAGGCCCTGCTCAAGAAGTTTCTCGTGACCGAGAGCCCTGCCAAGTTTGCACTTTATAAGCGTTGTCATAGGGAAGACCAAGGTATGCTGCCAGGCCTGAGATGAAAATGGTCTCTGCTTTTCTGTCTGTCCTCATGAGCAGCAGGAACATTGCTGGGTGTGTGTATCTCAGAGCCCAGGGACAAATTCTGGAAGCTCTGGTGATCCTGGCTTACACCTTTAATGTTTCCTGGCTTTCCTGTTCTTGAGTCGGACAGTTGTGGGTCTGAGGAGCTCCGAGGCATCCACACGTGATGGGCATTTGTGGAGGATTTTGTGATGTGTGCATGGGGGGATAGCTTTGAATTTTTTTTTTTTGAGCCTGAATGTTAATGTTCTTCAGAACAAAAAAGGATGCCGCTGTGCTTGAAGGTTTCGTTAGCACATTCCACATTTGATGTGCGTCCGCACGTGGGGTGGTTTGGGGGACTTGCATCCTCTGAGACTTGGAGGATGGGGAGGCACGTGTGTGTTACTGCACATTTCAGACTTACTGATGTCAGTGGCACAGCCCTGGGGTCTTATGTTTCCTGAGCTCGCCTCACTAGCTATGACCCTGGTGCAGTGTAGCACCCCCCACCCCCCAGAGGCACATACAGTGGATGGATAGCATTCTCCTCTGCGGTCTGCCTATCTGAACTTAATACCCACATTCAGCGGGTAGGAAGAGAATATTAAGTAACTGCGTGAAACTGAGTATGGTAGTCAGGTACCTGAGCAGAAATTGATAACCAGGGGTGGATGGCCGTGATTCAGTGAGTCACCAAGTGCTCGTTTGAAAATGGTATAGATGTGTGGGCAGTCAGCTACTTAAACTGTTTTTTGGGGAGTAGAGCCTACAGCAGCAATGGAGGAGGATATAGTAACTTGACATGCTAGAAATATCCTTCAGTTGTTTGGGGATGAAACGCAGCTAGTTACTGAGCATGCATACATTTTTTTGAGCCCAAACCATGGGCTGGGCCCTGCAGGATACAAAGAGGAATAGGCCAAGGTTCCTACCCTCTGGAGGCCCTGGGCTCAGAAGTGCGGGGTTTACATCTCCAGGGAAACCAGTACCTATGATGCTTCGTTGCCTGCCCACTGGGCTGGAGCTGCGCGGACAGGTGGTGGTAGCGTCGTGGGCCGGCAAAATCTTTCATCACTGCAGGCAGTGCTAGGACCGCGCGCGCGTGTGTGTGTGTCGTGTGTCTCTCTCTCTCTCACACAGGAGACACAGCTGTGTCTGCTGCCAGCCGAGCCCGCGTTTGGATTGCTTGGTTTGTAGCTGCTCACAATTCTAAGTTAATCTATAGACAGATTCGCTTTGATTTCGTGTCCTGTGCATGGTATATTTTTACTGTTTCTTAAAGGGGTTGCAGATGCTTTTGTAAGTGTATTTTCTTGCTTTCTGAAAGGAGCAGCAGAATGAATTACAGGCCCATCTTGGGACTAACTAATGCCCATTTAAATTCATTCTGGAGGATTATTTCCTTTGTAATAGAGGCACAGTGTGTATTTGTGCAGCTAGAATGGAGGTAGCGTAGATTTCATTCCGCCGCAGGCTGTTCATGGTGATAGGGGCAGGAGGACAGTGACTTGGTGGCTGGGTGACGGGGGCTGTTGCCTTGATCTGGAGGAGGGGCTGGAAAGCGGGGCGTACGGTCCGGGGATTGACGAAATACTCCAACGGGCTGCCTGTTTGCTTACGCAGTCTACGCCTGTAAGCTCTCAGACCGCGAGCATCCACTCTACCTGCGTTTGGTGGCTGGGCCCAGAACAGACACACTGAGTTTTGTTCTTCGTGAACATGAAATTGGAGAGGTAAGTGATCGTTCATTCTTGCTCTACACTGTAGAGAGCACCTGGCCCTGTTTTACTGCTCGAATCTAGTGACTTTATTTCTGCGAGGGGGTGGGCATCCAGCTGTCTGTCTGTATCTCTTGGTGTGTGTGTTTGGGGGTAGCTGGTCTGTGGAGGACAGGTGTTTTTGAATTGACCGAAATGAACCCAAAGTTAGCCTATGATTGATGTGTGTATATATCAATATCTATCTATCTATCTATATTTTTAACTATTCTCTCTTTTTTAAAGTCTATATTTTTGCCGAGTTTTATTTTTTATTTTATTTATTTATTTTTAAAGATTTTATTTACTTATTAGAGAGAATGAGAGATAGCACGAGAGGAAAGAGGGTCAGAGGGAGAAGCAGACTCCCCGCCGAGCAGGAAGCTCGATGCGGGACTCCATCCCGGGACTCCAGGATCATGACCTGAGCCGAAGGCAGTCGCTTAACCAACTGAGCCACCCAGGCGCCCCTTAACTATTCTCTTGGTTTACAATTTTCAGAGGTGGAAAGAGTGCAAGCAAGAGATCTCCCTCTCACCCAAAGAGCCCTTTTCACTCCTGCCTCCAAATTACCCTAATCCAGCTAAACTATGAAAGTCGATACTCTCCATATGTTTGCTGCTAACATCTCCAGGCTCATTCGTTTAAAGAGAAATAAAAGGAAATGCAATCAAAAAATGAAATGTCAAAAAAAAATGCAGTTTCTTTACCACGAAAGATCTAGAACTTTCTAAAATCTTTTTTTCCTCTTGCCAAAGTGATTTAGAAATTATATTTGTATATGCATCATTTGCCATTTTCTCTCCAGGGAGGATTGAATTTAGGCCAGTTCAGTTGAAGGAAAAACGCATTTTGTACTGTCCTTCTAGATCAAACGCCAGCTTTAAAACGACACTTGAGTAAATCTTGCAAGCCCTGGGTCTCTGTCTTCTGCCCAGACAGGAAATGGCATGAATTGTCTGTGTAGAACATTGTGTGATGCAGTGAGAATAGTTTCAGGTTAAAAGTTAGGAAACCAGGACTCCGCTTCCTGCTGGTCCTCTTGTTAGCTTAGGAGCATGACCTTGGGTAAATCTTCCAGTCTTTTCAGCCCTCAGTTTTGAATTCTGTAAAGTGGGACTTTAAAAGGTGGTTTTGAGTCACAAATTAAAAATATACATAAACATGCCTTGTAAATTGTTTATCTGTAAGTTGGAGCTTGATCTGGAGAGTTTTAGGAAGACAGTGCTGTTTTAATTAACAGAACATTCTGATGTAGAAAGTTTTGTTCTCCTACTCCATGTTTCTTATTTTCCTTAATAACCAGGGCAGAATTCTCCAGAAAGTCTTCTACCATTGTGCCTACTTGGTCGTTTTATTCCATCTGTTCTACTTGTATTAGGTTATCTCTGGTCTTTTCCCTCCCCACACCCCTGGGAGTTCCCCATCAGAAATTGTTCCTGGGGCACCTGGGGGCGGGGCTCAGTCCGTTGAGCTTCTGACTCTTGATTTCGGCTCAGGTCATGGTTTCTGGGTTGTGAGATTGAGCCCGGTGGGCGTAGGGCTCAAATGCTCCACACTCAGCGGGAGTCTGCTTGGGATTCTCTCCCTGTCCCTCACCCCCTGCTTGTGTGGTTGTGCACGCTCACTCTCTCTCTCTCTAATAAATAAATCTTTAGGAAAAAAAAGGAAGAAAGAAAGAAATTGTTCCTGTTTAAGCCAGTGATTCTCAGCCCAGGACCCAGGGCCCCCTTTTGGAAGGGGAGGATGTGTCGCTTGAAAAACAAACAAAAGCCCTCCCTGGTGATGTCAAGTACCTTTCTTGACCTTTACTGATCAATTAAAAATTTTTTCTTAAACCCCACAAATGTTTACTTTGTGCCTGCTAGGTACCAGGTGCTGTTGGGGAAACAACTGCAAAGCCCAGATAGAAGCACAACAGCTGCCGTGTAGGTAAAGTGTAGGTGAGGGAGATGCTGAGCAAATAATTGTCGTACTGTTTAAATCTTTTGTGATCAGGGCTACGATCAGTGAGAGCTTCTAACAGACATCGTCCTGGGTGGGAAGGAGGGGAGGAAGGAAATCATGGAAGTCTTCTTTGAGGAAGTGGCGTTTAAGCTGAGACTTGAAGGTTGAGTAGGAGTTTGCCAGGCATAGTGGAGAACGTGGGTAATGTGAGACAGTGTGAGAACGAGGGGAGCCAGAGGGGTCCGGGTCTTTCAGACTTAGCAGGAACAACCAGGGGAAGCCACTGAAGGGTTCTAGCAGGGGAGGGGCATGCCTAGATTTGCATTTTACGAAGAGTATTCATACTCAGCCTGGCTGCTGGGGGAACAGAAGAGTGGAGTGAGGAGGTCACGGAGAAGGGCGAGGTTCTCCCGGGGCTGGAGAAGAGGATGGTGAATACATAGGCGGCAGCAGAGGTAGTAGAGAAGAGCAGGCCAGTTGGAGAGCTGCTTCGGAGCTGGTAAGATTGTGGGAGGCGAAAGGTGGCGGCAGTGATGGTGGTGACCGCAGGGCGAGGGCGAGGGCAGTGGTTTCTGCTGCCTCAGCGGTCGGATGGAGAGGGGCCCGGTCAGCAGGGACAGTGTCTAGTGCACCTAGGGCCCGGAGGGCTTTGGCCCCAGTGAGAGCTGTTGTGGGGAGCTGCGGGAGGCAGGCAGAGGCACGAGTGGGCCTGGGTGCGGGGGGAGGCCCCCCCCACCCCCGCATTGTGCTCCCGGCCAGCGTGCCTACGTTCTGATTTCAGCACCTGGAATTTTTCCTTCTTGTGTCCTTGCGCAGTGGGAAGCCTTCAGCCTTCCAGAACTACAGAATTTCTTGCGCATCTTGGACAAGGAGGAAGACGAGCAGCTGCAGAGCCTGAAGCGGCGCTACGCGGCCTACCGACAAAAGCTGGAGGAAGCCCTCAGTGAGGTGTGGAAACCCGGTTAAGCACGGGGATCCCTGCCACTCACGAAGGAGAGGCGCGGGACCCGCGTCTGAACCGGCAGCCGGCGTCTCTCTTGTTGGAGGGCTGTCTTCGGGCCCCGTGATGCTAGGGTCTCCGCCCTTGATCCCTAGATCTAGTTCCCTCCACCTGGTCACGCAGCGTCCCGCGCCTTCGGCCGCTTCTGTGCGGGATTCTGCCGCTTGGTCTAACAGCCCTGTGGGGTTCACCTCTCGGCAAGCTGTGAATCTGCTCTCATCTGGAGCAATCTAGACGGCTTGGAAGCATGACTCTGGGTTTTGTTTGGTTTGTTTTTATTCCTTACTTTGTTTTAGTTAATTATGTAATGATGAAGTTAAGCTTAAGGATGTGCAAATGATTTTTTTTAAGAAGCTTAACATGGAATCTATCTGAATACTTGTCCTGTGTTGAAACTACCTGTCCATTTTTTGTTTTGTTTTTAAATGTCAGAAGCGATCCATGTGAATTGAAAGGCACGGGAAGCTAGGAACTCGGGGGCATTTGTGAAGGGTTTGGTTGGGAGTTGGACAGAGAACGTGAAGAGCAAGTGGAGGAAGGCACCAGTGGAAGTGGGGAGCTCTGCGGGAATGCGGTTTGGGTGAGGGGTTGATGGTCGGGGAGAAAGGTGTATTTGGTTATAGACGACATGAAAGCATTCGGTTTTGAGATGTTAAACCCACTGTGGTATTATTGACTGATTTGCTGGTGAGTAAGATGTGGGAACAGAACCAGAGCAAGTAGAAGCTAGACCAAAGGGAGGAACTGGGAAGTCTGCAGCTGCCCAGACGACGGAGCGACCCGGCAGGTGGACCCCGCAGGCCCAGACGGGGCGGGGGTCTTGCAGCGGGGGCTGCCCTCTCTTGGGACCGGGTCTCCGAGCTCCCCCACCCTCCGGGCGGTGGGGCGCTGACCGATGGCTAACTCCTGTTACGTTAGGGCCTCGGTCTCCCCCACCCCGGCTGTCTTCTGAGCGGAAAGGAGGCTGGGTGGGGGGTGGCAGTTTTCCTGTTAGCCGGGAGATTTGTCAGGTAGAGAGCTCACTGCCTACTTTTGTGACAATCAGTCCGCTTCTTCCCCTGTTCTTTCCTCCCCTTCCTCTTCCCCCTCCACTCTCCCCTCTTTTCCCTCTGCCTTTCTCTTGCAAATTGCAGTCTGTTCTTCCATGAGGTAGAATGGGGATGTGGATTATAGACCCGGGGCCATCAGATCCTCCTTCCAAAAGGAGTACTTGACTCTGAGGAGGAGGGTGGCCGGAAAGGGAGGACTCCCCCGCCCCCGCCCCGCCGCCCACGAGCTGACCATACAAGAGGGGTTCTTTCTGGAAATGCTTTAACAAAAGTGCATGTTCCTACCAACCAAAGAAAGGCATGTGCAATAGAAGCCTTCCTTAAAGCAGCTTAAATAACCTCATTTTTTACAGCAATCTGAAAACAATAGGAAAGCCATGCTGTGGTTCTGAAGGGGCCTTATGATCTATTTTTAGTCTAGATATATTTTGTTTATAAATTCCCAAGGAATTGTCAACACTTTGGTGACACCTAATGGATTCTTTTTGAAATTCCAAGGTGCTTCATTTCTTTGCCTCTTAAGTGAACTGTGCCTTTTAAAAATTGCATTTCTGTTCCCCTCTTGGTGGCACTTCTTTTTCAGAGAGCACCCATCTTGTTGGAGGCAGGTGTACGCGGTGGTCTGCTGTGCACACAGTTACTGTTTACTGAGACAATCCTATCTTCCTAAGCTTTTTAAGGAGAGTTGGGGGGGGAAAAAAAAGTAGAACTAGCTATAAAATATGTATGGCGCATCTTTAATTTTGCATGTAACTTCTTTTTAGTGCATCGATGAGGTTTTAGTGACATTATCATCCAACACTTTACCTTTATTGTTCAGGGAATGCCTTCATGATTTTTATACTGGTTTTACTGTTCAGACTGAGGCTTGGGTTTGAGTATACTGTTACCAGCCACCTGGTCTTTTAATTGCCCACCCAGTAAGCTTATATTTTGTGAAGCATTTGTTTCTCAGAAGAAGACACTGTTAGAACGTAAAGTAGTAGCTGATGGTTATCTGTGAATTTTTTTTTTTTTTTACTTGAAGTAGATTGTCTAAAATAGGCATCCTCCTCTGTAGTACCCAGCACCTCGCTCCTTGTTGTGTGCACTACAAGTTGCAGTTTGGAAAACTTGTTGTATTGAAATTCTGTCAGTACTTAGTTCTTGGAATACTGACATTCTCTCCCAAACACTGGTTCCTGCAGCAGCATTTTTCATGCATAAAAGAAGAAAGGCCACGATGGCCAAAGATTTTTAAAAATCATTGTACTAATTCTTAGGTTAAATTAAACTAAGCTTTGCTGTAATACTGTTTTCTCTTCAGTATGTGATGGTACCGGAATGTTGTTAAAATGAAGGGGTGGTATTGCAGGGGAGCATTTTAAATTGCAGAAGTAAAAAAGTTATAATATTTATAATTTTGATGAGTTTATTTTTATAGGGAAGATTTTTCTTCCCTGCAGTTGTTTCTGGAATGGCAAATTGTTTCCATTATTAAAAGTCGAAGTTGTTAGTTGATGTTTGTACATGTGTTTTTATTTATGATAATAATATGCCGGGTAAAAGGTCACAGGAGTGGGACGAGCTGCTTCTGCAGACCCATGAGGACACGTGCTGGCACGCGGTGATTTACTAGGCTTGAGTGGGGCACATTTGTTCTCCCAAATGTTGCTTTTCCTTTGTCTTACCCTCTGGAGAAGAAAACCCTCGCTGAGGTCTGCCCATACCATACATTCCTAAAACAATTGTTTTAACTGTGAAATATACATTCAAAAGTGTATAAAGCACGTGAACAAAGAGTTAAAGTGGATGCCCTGTGGCCCCTACCAAAACAGAAGGGGATCGTCCGTTCTTTCAGAATCCTCTCCCTGCACCTTCCCTTCCTGCCTCTAAGTCTCCCGTCCTTGAAACAGACCACTTTCAGCATTAAAAGTGTATTTTTTGGTCAGCATGACTGTCCCACGCGGGATGGTGGGATGGGGAGTGTTTGGGGGTCAGCAGCGGTGATTGGGTATAGGCTCTGTGCCCACCTCCGTGCCTGCTCTAGGCAAGCGTTTTTGCTGCTGCACTGCCCCCTAGAGGCGGTGGTGAAATAGCAAAGCTGTATCCATGGCTGAGGGGGAAACATTGCAAGTACCATAGCTGTTTTAGAAGTGAAAATATTATGATAGAAAATGATGGCTTTGTGTAGATCTCCCTGATGAAATATTCAATGGAATCTAGTTTGGGAGTTCAGCCTGGGTTTTTGGAATTTTTATCCCTTAAAGGGAGTTAGCTTCCTGCCCTAGGCTTTTTGTCAAAATTTGTCACCAATTGATAACTTTAAATTTTCGTATTTTGCAAAATCCTCAAGAATGGTATCTTGCCTTCTGTGTTAGAAAGAAAGGGGAGGGGCACTTGGGTGGCTCAGTCATTAAGCATCTGCCTTCAGTTCAGGTCATGATCTCAGGGTTCTGGGATCCAGCCCCACATCCCTGCTCAGCGGGGAGTCTGCTTCTCCCTCTCCTTCTGCGCCTCCCCCCCAATGCCTGCTCTCACATACTCTCTCCCAAATAAGTAAAATCTTAAAAAAAAAAAGGGGGGGGGAGTCTCTATACTATAATAGCAAATTCAAAGTGTTTACAGTGTGCCAAGCATTACTCTAAAAACCTTAATATGTATTAACTCATTTCCTCCCCCGTGGGGTAGGTATTGTCAGCATCCCCATTTTACAGATGAGGAAGCGCACTGAGGGTCCCGCAGCTTGCCCGCGGCCACTCTGAGAGAGCGGCTGAGCCAGGTCCTGGCCGCTAAGCTGCCCTGCCACTCCGCTCCCCTGGAAGCTCTGTCCAGTTCTCCAGTTCAAGTGCCAATGAAAAGCCCCTTCTGTTGCCAGTAATGGGCAGCTCATCTGAAAGCAGGCCTCTGGGTGCAGCTGGGATTTGTGGGAAATGGAAGGACAGCTTTGATGTCTGAGTGCTCTCTCAACCTTTTGTGTTGTTCATTTAGCACCCCATTGAAGTGATTGTAAGGGATGTAGTAGTGAAGCATCTACCTGTATTTTAATTCTGCGGGTTCTGTTGTGCGGGAGAGACTGACAGAGCCGGGAGCCAGGCCAGTGTTCTCACTGCAGTTAATACGAGAATTCCCTGGAACCACCCGAAGGAAGAGTAGCTTCAGGGAGAATTCAGAGTTCCCGGTTGCGAAGGCTGGAGCTTTCCTCCCCCATCAAGGATGAGCCTCTCCAGAGGAACACAGGAGACCAAGTATTGAAAATGTTTAAAGCGCACACTTGTCTGGTGTGAATAACCGCGTGCTTAATTAGGTGTGCGAAAGAGCAGCTTTGTACGAGGATTAGGGGAGGAAATGGGGTAGCCGGAGGGGGGTGGGTAGCATTAAATAACTTTCAGATGAAATGTCATCGGCAGGGGTGCTTTTTGGTTCCATTTTGTTTTTTTGGCAGACCTTTCCCTATAATCCTGCAAGGTGAGAATGGCAGGGTAGAGGACAGGCCCTTTTGATCTTAAATAACAGTTTCCAAAGACACTTGTGACTCATGTTTGGCTGAGGCAGCACTTGGCAGCAGCTGAACCCCAAAAGCGCCTCTCCTTCCCCTCTTGGAAATGTGAATATTGGCATTTTTACATGTTTACACACAAACAGCAGAACACTCAGGGCTCTTTGAATACTTCAAAAGCAATTGGGGTTTTGGCTTTGTTTTTTGGAAGGGAGTTAACTTTAACCAGAATAGTTCCTTTCAGTCTTTCTAAATGAGTTTTACCTTTAATGCATCTGGCTCTTAAGTGGCCCGGATTAGGGGGTGTTTGCAACCTCCCCTTGTTTTTGCCACCCTTAATTGGCAAGAGGGATTAATGAGATCCCGTGCAGTTCCTTTTCTCTGAAGTAGAGTGCCAGGGGGCTTTGCTCTCAAGGGCTTTCTGATTTTCTTTTCTCTCTTCTTTTCTTTTCTTTTCTTTTTAGAGAGAGAGGGTGGGGGCAGAGGGAGCGAGAGAGTCTCAAGCCGACTCTGCTGAGTGCAGAGCTTGACGCAGGGCTCGCTCTTACGGCCCTGAGACCATGACCTGAGCTGAAACCAAGAGTTGGAAGCTTAACTGACTGAGCCACCACACAGGCGCCCCGAGGGCTTTCTGATTTTCAAGTGCAGTAAGATTTGCTTAAATTTTAGGAATTCTGGAGCAGAACACTAGACTCCTTGAATTATTA